TTCTTTCTTTTTTTTTTTTTTTTTTTTGGAGCCAGCAAACGTAATAACAACAAGGCCAACCACCACAAAAGCATAAGAAGTTGCGTAAATATATTGTCCCGTCGGTCTGTCGAGTTGAGTGTGGCGGGGTCAGGGAAGGGGGTTACCTATAAAGAGGACACTATTCAGCAGCAAGTTGTGGGCGTTGCGCAACTGAACAAGGAAGCAAATGTGGGTGAGTGCGACGCAGTTAGTCGAGCGTGCCTGGCGGCTTTTAATGCGTGCGTCTATAAATTTTACACGCCTTTTGTGGCTGGGCAGATGGTGGGCGGTGCACGTGGCCGGCCAGTTTCTGAAACTGTCAAATTGTTACTGTTTCAGCTCCTTTGGGGGTAGTCGAGCGACGTTCTGGCTACAGGAATTTTTATAATTTTATAATTTTTTTTGGTTTATTTAGCTATAAAATCTGAGAGCAGTTTAAAATAGGAACAATGTTTTGGTAGAGATATTGAAATGTTGATTTCCATTCAATGGAAACTTTATCTTTTTTGGGGGACTTGAATTTCCCCCAACTGTGATCTATATTCTTTTGCTCTGTGGAAAATTCAGACTCTTCTAATTCATCTCGGCTCATTTTAATTTAATTGTAATAATTCAATATCTATATTTCAATCATTTTCTTTTTTTTTTTTTAATTTAGCGTAAGGTCTCCCCATAATCGTGCTCCATAATAATGCTCCATTCTTATCTTAGGCGTACAAGCTAAGAAATATCCCTCATAATTATACCTCTGTCATATATTCAACATGGGGGTAACATGATTTGATGACCTTCCAGTTTTTGTAATCTACTTCTACAATTATTAGCTTTAATTTCCCTTTAAACCGTTGGCATTGAAATCGAATTTCTTTATTATTCTTCATCAGAGTCCTGAACTTCATCGGTAGATTCAACCTCAGAATCCTCATTTGCATCACCATTTGATTCTAAGGATATTTTCGTTGCCTCTTTTACTTCTTCACAATCGTCCGAGCATTCATAATCCATATCTCTTTCGGAAGAATCTTCATTTTCACTTTGGGATGCTGCCTCGGAATCTTTTATCTGGACTGGCTCCTCCTCATTTGCAATGTCATTTGACACTCCAATTATTTCCGTGGTCTCTTTATCGTCTTTCGAGCTTTGATTTTCCATGTCTCCCTCGGGCAAATTTTCATTTTCATTAAGGGCTGCTGGTTCACGATTCATTGACTGAGTTGGATTCTCTTCACTTGCATCACCAGTTGAGTATCGAATTTTTTCCTTAGCCTCTCCTACAACTTCTTCAATATCGACAAGACCTTGGCTTTCCATAGCTCCCTCGGAAGAATCTTCGATTTCAGTAAGTAATGCTGTCTGACAATTCATTGATTGGGTTCGCTCCTCTTCATTTTCATCTTCATCACCGCCAGCTAATTCTTCAATTATATCCGTAGCTTCTTCTTCATCATATTCCGAACTTTGATTTTCCATATCGCCCTCGGAAGAATTTGCGTTTTCTCTTGGGGGTTCTTCATTTTCATGGTCTGTTGATTCTTCACTTATTTCCTCTTCTTCACTATCGTCCGAACTTTGATTTTGCATAGCTCCCTCGGAGGAATTTTCAATTTCACTAAGTAATGCTGTCTGATAATTTATTGACTGCGTTTGCTCCTCTTCATTTGCATCACCATTTGATTCCGTAGCCTCTTCTTCTCCATAATCCGAGTCTTGATTTTCCATAGCTTCCTCGGAAGAATCGTTATTTTCACTAAGTTCACTAGTTGATTCTTCAATTAATTCTTCACCATCATTCATGTCACTCTCGATAGAATCTTCACTTTCACTAAGTTGTACCTCACGAATCATTGACTGGGTTGGCTCCTCTTCATCACCAGTTGATTCTTCATTTGATTCCGTAGCCTCTCCTTCTTCTTCTTCACCTTCTTTTCCTTCTTCTTCTTCACCTTCATCTTCTTCTTCTCCTTCTCCTTCGTCTTCTTCTTCTTCTCCCTCTTCTCCTTCTTCTTCTTCTTCATCTTCTCCCTCTTCTTCTTCTTCTCCCTCTTCTTCTTCTTTTTCTCCTTTGTCTTCACCTTCTTCTTCTCCTTCTCCTCCGTCTTCTTCTTTTTCTACCTTTTCTTCTCTCTCTTCTTCTTCTTCTTCTTCTTCTTCCTCTTCTTCTTCCTCTTCTTCTTCCTCTCCTTCTTCTTCTTCATCTTCTTCTTTTTCTTCTTCTTTGTCTTCTCTCTCTTCTTCTTCTTCTCCCTCCTCTTCTCCTTCTTCTTCTTTTTCTCCTTCTTCTTCTCCTTCTCCTTCCTCTTCTTCTTTTTCTACTTTTTCTTCTCTCTCTTCTTCTTCTTCTCCTTCTTCTTCTTCTGCTTCTTCTTCTTCTTCTTCTTCTTCTTCTCTCTCTTCTTTTTCTTCTTCTTCTTTTTCTTCCTCTTCTTCTTCTTTGTCTTCTCTCTCTTCTTCTTCTTCTCCCTCCTCTTCTCCTTCTTCTTCTTTTTCTCCTTCTTCTTCTCCTTCTCCTTCCTCTTCTTCTTTTTCTACTTTTTCTTCTCTCTCTTCTTCTTCTTCTCCTTCTTCTTCTTCTGCTTCTTCTTCTTCTTCTTCTTCTTCTTCTCTCTCTTCTTTTTCTTCTTCTTCTTTTTCTTCTTTTTCTTCTTCTTCTTCCTTTTCTCCTTCTTCTTCTTCTTCTTCTTCTTCTCTCTCTTCTTCTTCCTCTTCTTCTTCTTCTTTTTCTTCTTCTTCTTTTTCTTCTTCTTCTTTTTCTTCTTCTTCTTTTTCTTCTTCTTCTTTTTCATCTTCTCCTTCTTCTTCTTCTTCTTCTTCCTTTTCTCCTTTGTCTTCACCTTCTTCTCCTTCTCCTTCGTCTTCTTCTTTTTCTTCTTTTTCTTCTCTCTCTTCCTTTTCCTCTTCTTCTTCTTCTTCGTCTTTTTTTTCTTCTTCTTCTCCCTCCTTCTCTTCCTCTTCTTCTTCGGAATAAACAAAAATAGAATTTTCTTCTAAATTAATACCTTCCATACAAATAATATTATCTGCTTCGCTGTTTTCCTCTGTTTCCTCGCTGTCCATATTTGAATTCCCTTCTTCAGATATTTCTGTTCCTTGACCACTTTCATCACAATCAATATCGGAACCTACAAGAGGGCTTGAGCCATCAATAGACTTCTTAACAACTGAACTAGTTAATGACCCAGATTTGTCCTGACGAACATACTTATTATCGCGTTCGTTTGTTTTGTCAGGGCTGTCAGAATTCTCGGCAATATGTCTTTTAAAAGGTTTACCAGTTACAAGACCAGAAATTGCATCCTGTTTAGTTTTCGAATTCCGATCTTTCATATTTGAGTTTTCTATGTCATCCTCAGAGGATTCTTCATCGGGGTCACTTATTGTTTCTGGCTCATCACCTGTAGAATCTTCATCGTCTGGATATCTAAAAAGTTTTGTGTCTTCACTATCATCAATAGACTTCTTAACAGCTGAACTAGTTAATGACCCAGATTTGTCCTGACGAACATACTTATTATCGCGTTCGTTTGTTTTGTCAGGGCTGTCAGAATTCTCGGCAATATGTCTTTTAAAAGGTTTACCAGTTACAAGACCAGAAATTGCATCCTGTTTAGTTTTCGAATTCCGATCTTTCATATTTGAGTTTTCTATGTCATCCTCAGAGGATTCTTCATCGGGGTCACTTATTGTTTCTGGCTCATCACCTGTAGAATCTTCATCGTCTGGATATCT